GTAAAAACTCACACTTTTGCCGTTCGATTACAGGTATGTCACCATAGATGAAAGTCATGGTAAGAAATTATTCTACTATTTTGTTGAGTCTGAAAGTAATCCAGCAAAGGACCCTGTTGTTCTCTGGCTTAATGGTGGGCCGGGCTGCTCGAGCTTTGATGGGTTCGTATACGAGCATGGTAATGGCATCTCTCTCACTGTTTGTCTGTTGTGACATTCATTTTGTGCCCTTTTTTTGGTTTTTGATTTGGAGCTGTTGTGTTGCTGTATGACTTTATTTATTTATTTATTCATTCATTATTAATAATATCATCATCCTTTTATGTTCTTGCCCTTTACTGTAATGACACTTTCCTTTATAGAAGAAAATGGGTTTCTGGTAACTTTTAGAGAAAACAATGTTATCCATTAGGATCCACCTTTTCGTGTTTGGTAGAGGGTAAAGGCGTTATCTTTTGTTTGTCTGCTTCAATTTGCTAGCCATTAGGTTTAAGGCAAGTGATTAACAACATGTTGGATTAGATTTTGCCGATTTTTCGAGCATTTTTGTATTATGTGGACTGAATTTCGTTATCAATTTCAGCTCAAGACAGGAAATGTATTTGTAATTAACTACTAGTGATTTGTAGAAGTCATTTATGAAGTTATGTTCTTCTATTTTTATTTTGATACATGAACCGCGATGCCCTTTATTGCATGTTATGTAAACAACCGAGATCCCCCTTTATTCTGATATGTTTTATACTAGCAAGAAAGTCGATTTGATTGACATGATTATAATTATTCTTTCAGTGAGAAACTTCCCATTTATTGGTAATTATATTTGTTGTATTCTAATTGCAGGTCCATTTAATTTTGAGGCGGGAAAGTCACATAGTGGCCTTCCCACTCTCCATCCCAACCCATACAGCTGGTCCAAGGTCTGATTTTCCACTGTATCGATCAAATATTGCCTCTTTGTATGTGTATATATGTCATGTGTGCTAGATATCAGAATCATACTTTCTCTTATTTTTGTCAGGTGTCTAGCGTTATATATCTAGACTCCCCTGCTGGTGTTGGGTTATCTCACTCAGGCAATGAATCTGACTACACAACGGGTGACTTGAAAACTGCCTCAGACTCCCATACTTTCCTCCTCAAGGTGCAGTTATGAAATTTTACTAAGTTTGAATTTTTAGTTTTTACTATATCAAAACGTAATATAATGACTTCATTTGTGAAATGTCTAGTGGTTTGAGCTCTACCCAGAATTCATATCAAATCCATTCTTTATATCTGGAGAATCATATGCTGGAATTTATGTGCCGACTTTGGCCTATGAAGTAGCTCAAGGTAATTGTTTATGGCATCTGAATCACGACTTCAGTTTATCGAGTATTTTATAAATTTGCTGATTTGGTTATTGCGATTTGTAGGTATTGATGCTGGTGTAAAGCCCATTATCAACCTGAAGGTATTAAAAGATTAACTCGATCTGTCGAATGTGAAATTTTAAATTGAGTGAAAAAAATTTCTTTTTGAGTTACAGGGTTACATGGTGGGGAATGGAGTTACGGATGATGTGTTTGACGGTAATGCCCTTGTACCGTTTGCGCACGGTATGGGTCTTATATCAGACGAACTTTTTGAGGTATGTGGCTTTATTTCCTTGTTTCATGTTGTTTGAGTGCTATATTGATTCGCATTCTAATAAATCATAAATATTTCGGATAAATCGCTATCTTCTCTAGCTAACACTTTTACCTTCTATGCTGCTTGTCTAGTTGTGTTCAATGGAAAAGTAATTATTTTCGTGATGTTGCATTGCATATTAATATCTGTTAGGAACAGAATCGGATTATTTAATGGATGTTTGCATTTATTACCTACAAATTTGTAAAAAAGAGAAGAATGAAAGTATAATTTAGAAGGAATTTAACACACGTCTCTTATAAATTCAGCAAACCATATTCTCACAGATTCGTTTTCATCCTTTCAGGCAGTTAGTGATGAATGCAATGGTAACTACTACCCTCCCAATGGTGAAAATTGTGAAAATAATCTTGCAAAAGTCGATGCAGTAAGATATACATTACAATTTCCATAAATTTCGTAAAAACGTTAAACAAAAAAAGAATTAGCATTTTATGTTTAATTTTGTTTCCAACTCGGATCATTTTCAGGCAATCGCGGGCCTCAACATATACGACATTCTCGAGCCATGCTACCATAGCCCATCGAGTAAAATTCTGCTCGAGAATACAAATTTGCCACCAAGCTTTAGGAGATTAGGCGAGACTGAAAGGCCTTTACCGGTTAGAAAGAGAATGTTTGGTCGTGCTTGGCCTTTTCGAGCACCTGTAAGAGAAGGATATGTCCCGACTTGGCCTCAACTTATGAACAGTGAAGATGTTCCTTGCACTGTATGTAAAATTTGAACTTGCTTTCTTGAGTAATGATTCTAATAGTTTGCATGATTTATGGGGTTTTTAGCTAAAAGCTTACTAATGACTAATGAGTTCTAAAGTTGCTATTTTATCAGCATGATGTTGTGTTTATATTTTAATTATCTATTTTTTGTTTTAAATATGCTAAAAAAAATGTAGGATGATGTAGTTGCAAATGCATGGCTGAACAATGAAGCAGTTCGGAAAGCAATTCATGCTGATAGTGTAAGAAGACTTTTGATCTTTAGTCGAATTCTTATTTTCTTTCCCTTTTTTTTAATCCATTGTTTTATTTTTGCCAGGAAAGTAAGGCTGGTAAATGGGATCTGTGTACTGATAGAATTATATTTACTCACGATGCTGGGAGCATGAT